TTCAGTGTAAAAAGAAAAGCCAGGTGAGTTTAAAGAAAGAAAACAACTTAAAAATTACCTTATTACTAGTTCTCCTTAGAAATTACCATTTACCTTTTGGAGTGTGTGTGCGCGCACACAGAAACACACATACAGAGAAATCAATTCTAAGTGGACTGAAAGTCAAAGTGTGGAAGGCTACACAAGAAATATTTTAGAAAACATATAGCTAAATATGCTCATGACTTCAGGATAGGGATTTTCTTTACAAGGCACAGAAAGCACTAAGCATAAAAAAAAAAGTCATATCATTAAAATTAAGAACTTATTTTCACCAAAAGGCACCATAGCCTTGGTCGGTGTGGCTCTGTGGTCGAAGATTCAATTCCTGGTCAAGGGCATGTATCTGGATTGCAGGTTAGATCCTGGGCCCTAATAGGGTTCATGCATGAGGCAATCAATCCATGTGGCTCACATCGATGTCTCTCTCTCTCTCTCTCTCCGCCCCCTCTCTCTTTCTTTCCCCTTCTTCGGTCTCTCCCTCCCACTCTCTCTAAAAAAAAGTCAGTGGAAAAAATGGGTGAGGATTAACAAGAACAAAAAAGGCACCATAAAGAGAGTGAAAAGACCACCCACAGGGTAGATGAAAATATCTGCCATTCATTAAATCCACAAGAAACTCCTAGAAATCAGCAAGAAAAAAGGGAGAAGCCCCAACAAGAATATACTTGAATAGGCATCTTATGAAAAAATCCAAATGGAAAAAAATAGATGCTCAACCTCATTAGTAATCTAAGAAATGCAAATTAAAACCACATGAAATACCATTCTCTTTACCTCCCTTTCCTATCTCCTTACCTCCCCATGACAAAGATAAAAATGACAATTCCAAGTATAAGTGAGCAAGTGAAGCTGAAGCCTTTTTTATATATACTAGAGTCCCAGTGCACGAAATTCATGCACAGGTAGGGTCCCTAGGCCTGGCCAGAGATCAGGGCCCATCAGGTTCCCTGCCTCCAGCTTCCCCACCTCCTCCTTCCCTTGCTCCCTCAGCACCCCGCTGCTGCCCCTGGTCGCCTGCCATGTTCTGCCCCACCCCCTGGTGTTCAGCATACGTCATAGCAAGCAATCAAACTCCCAGTCTCTAGGTCGAACTCCCAAGGGGACACTTTGCATATTAGCCTTTTATTATATAGGATGGCTGATGGGAGATAAATTGGTGTTATCTGAATAAGTTGAAGATAAACATACCCTACAGCACAGTAATTCCCCTCCAACTTTTTGTTGTTGTTGTTAA